AGAAGTGGATTCTGAGAAAACGAAGAAAGAAGTTTATTGGATCAATCAGGATCTGAACAGAGCTGACAGAGACGTCCAATTTTTTGTGAGACAGGAACGGAGAAAGCGACTTGCAGAGAAAGCAAAGCTATAGAATGCCTAAACCTTAAATTGTTTTATAGTAACAGTAATAGTTTATATAATAAGTTTTGTGAATTGAGAAATGCTGTTTCGCTGTACCAGTCTGACATTGTTTGCATAAATGAAACTCATTTTAACAATGAAATTATTGATGCTGAAATTAGCATACCTGGTTTCAAAATATTTAGAAAAGATAGAGATTTTACAGTTAATGAAGAAGTAGGAGAAAGTTCTGTTAGTAGTGGTGGAGGCTGTATTATTTATATTAAAGACTCTTTGAACCCAGTTGTTATAGATTGGTTTAGGGTCACTGATTCGATTGCTGTTGAATTCGATAGCAACATTGGTAGGGTAAATATTGCATGTATTTATAGATCAATGTCTCTTTCTAAAGCGCAGAACAATGCGATGACCAAAATGATTGCAAAACTAGCTGTTTTTAATGTTGATTCAATCCTAGTTGGAGATTTAAATTTACCAAATGTATCTTGGCTTAGTGGAACTGTTAATGCTCCTTTAGGAACAAGTAATAAGGGTTTAATTATAGAAAAGAATTTTATGGAATGTGTACAAGACAATGGCTTGGTTTGGTATATCACAGATGAAGTTACCAGACGTAGAGTTGTCAGCGGTAAACTTCAAGAGAGTACACTAGATCAGGTTCTCTCTACAAACGAAGCTATTGTCAATGAAGTAATGATTGTCTCCCCCTTGGGGAAGAGCGATCATGTTTGTTTTAATGTAGAATTAAATCTAAGTCTTAGTAACAGTAAGCAAGATGATGAGGCTGCAAAGGAGCCTAGAAAGTTATGGGGAAAAGTCTCTGGCAAAGAATTGTTACACAGATCAGCTGAAATTGACTGGTCTTTTAGTGAGGGTACTTTAACTTCTGAAGATATGTGGAGTGAGTTACACTCAAAGCTTAACTTAGTATCTGATATAGTTCCGACGGAAAAGAACTTTAAATGTGAGCCTTGGGCAAATTCATCCTTAAAAAGATGCAGGAAAAAGACAGATAAATGTTGGTATATTTTTGATAATAATCCTTCTTCTGAAAATCTTAATGTTGCACTGAACCAACAAGGACAGTTTGATAGTAAGTCATTTAAGTGTAAAGTTAATTATGAAAGAAAAATTACACAGTGTATGAAATATAATACGAAGCCATTTTATGCATATTTAAGAGGGAAAAGAGTGTTAAAAAGTTGTGTATCATCCCTGGAAAAACCGGACGGATCTTTGACCAAAAGTAATTTTGAAACTGCCGAAGTATTGGCTGATGCTTTTGCTTCAGTTTTTGTCAAAGAACCAGATGGACCTTTGAACAGAGAATGTTATTTTATTGCGGATGAGTTACACATTGAAAATATTGAGATAACAATGGATGATGTTGGCAGAGAACTGAAAAGAATTAATATTAGTAAAAGTAAAGGGCCAGATGGCATTCATCCTAAATTATTAAAAGAACTTGAACATAATTCAAGTTTTGTTTCTGCTGTGACTAAATTATTTCAAACATGTGCTTCAAGTGGAAAAATTCCAGAACAGTGGAAGACAGCAAATGTTACATCTCTTTATAAAAAGGGTAGTCGGAAAGATGCCCTAAATTACAGGCCAGTGTCACTTACATGCATTTTATGTAAATTATATGAAAAATTAGTAAGGAGGCATATTATGAGTTTTGTTAGTAAGAAAATAAATCCAAACCAGCATGGATTTGTAGAAGGTAAATCTTGTTTATCTAATCTATTAGAGAGTGTAGAATGTATCATCGAACTATTAGAAGATGGTGCACCCGTAGATGTGTTTTACTTAGATTTTTGTAAAGCATTTGATAGTGTTCCACATCATAGACTACTTACAAAAATGAGAAATTTGGGTATAAGTGGTAACACTTTAGATATTGTGAAAGACTTTTTATCTGGAAGAAGATTTAAGACATTTGTTGGTGGAGCATATTCCTACCTTCGTGATGTTTTATCAGGCGTCCCACAAGGGTCTGTTTTAGGTCCTTTATTGTTTGTCATTTTTATCAATGACTTGCCTGATTGTATTAATGGTATATCTAAACTGTTTGCAGATGATCTTAAAGTTATTATGGATGCCAATGACACTGAAAGCACTTTCAATATGTTAGAAAGCTTGCAAAACTGGCAAAATGTGTGGCTGTTAAAGTTTAATCCTAGCAAATGCAAAATAATGCATGTTCCATTTAATGAAAATCCCCTTCAAGAATATGTATTTAGTGGTGTTACACTTGAATGTATTGAAGCAGAGAAAGATCTTGGAGTTTTAACTTCTTCAGATTTGAAATGGTCGAAACATATTAAAAGTTGTATTAGTAAAGCAAACAGTATGATTGCATGGGTTACAAGGAATCTCATTATAAGAGAAATTAATGTTATGAGAAATGTTTATAAAACTATAATAAGACCCCACTTGGAGTATTGTGCTCAGTTGTGGTCTCCACCTGCCTGCCATGGGAATTGGGCTACTATCATTGAACTGGAAAATGTCCAGAGAAGGTTCACACGCCTTATTGATGATATTGGAACACTTCCTTACAGTGAAAGGTTGGATGCCTTACAGATTACAACACTCGCAGAGAGACGGGTTAGAGGAGATTTGATTGAAGCCTACAAAATTGTAAATGGATTGGTTGAGTATGGAAAAGATATTTTCAATTTAAGTAGATCGGGAGATAAAATTGTTAGCACTAAATCTAACAATATTGATAGAAATATTAAAACCTTGTCTAATAATTTTTTATCAGAGCGTGTTATCAGCTTTTGGAATAAATTGCCATCTTTTGTTAGAAATTCAGTGTCTGTTATTGATTTTAAAATTAATCTAGAAGAATTTAAAAAGACTAATAATTTAGTAGACACAGGCAACTTTTGGGAAGTGTCAAATATAGTTTTAGCAAAAATAGAGGGTGTAAATTATATCAAAAAAGAAGAAGCAACAAGTCCAATATTTATATAAAAATCCTCGTGTTGCCAAGAGAAAGGGAATAAATATCTCATGAATTTGTTTTTATTTATTTATTTTAAATTAACGGTTTTTAACTTTTTAAACTTTTTTATATGTAAATAAATTATGACAATTATGTTATTTATAGAATTTGTTTGTTTTTTAATGACGAAGGCTGTGAAATGTTCACAGTTCTGATAATGAGGAAATCAGAAAGAATGTTTAAAACTAGTGATGATGTTTATGTCATTATTCTTAATCTAATCTAATCTAATCTTAGGGAATTTCATCTAAGTTATTATATTATCTTGAATATTATTTTGATAGGCTGATGAGTTTCATGCAGAGATATCTTGTGGTCATCATCCAGTTTTCGAATCTTTTGTAAGAAAACCTGCCAACTTTTCTTGGATATCTTCTTGTTAGGTGTATCTGCCTTATCTAGTCAGGATTTAATTTGCAGTTATAAACTTCTGTTTTCTTGATAGTTTCACCCCCGTTCAAGGCGAGATGCACAATCTCTACTGTCATTTAAGTATCATTTACAGCTGAGCATAAGGGTTAAATTTAAATTATTTAACCTTTTGGTGCTGTATAAAAGTTACATTAATTTATTATTATTATTATTATTATACGTACTTGCAAAATGTTTGCTCCAAATATTGACCGTCGACGAGTCCAAATCTCTGACTTATCAATAACATTTTTACTGGATCTTTGTACCTAGCAGTAGAAATTTAGTTTAATTTATAAAATTTTGTAGAAATTTATCTTTTTGTACTTTACAACCCCATACAAATGCTACAAATCCTTAATCAGTAATTATAATCTCTTGTTATAGATCACGATATCATATATTTTGATAATTTGAAAGTTTTCGTTATCTTTAATGTAACTATATTATATAAATATAAATTGATAAAAAGTATAATTAATAAAATATGTTCAATAAAGTGTGTTTTATAATTATGATTTATGGTACATTGTTATTTATCATATTTATATTTTAGGCTGTAACCTTATAAGTTCAATTGAATAAACCTAGCATGCCTTGGTTGCAGCATCGCTTCACTTATAGGTGCATATAGGGCCCGATGTAATTGCTAGGAGGGAGGATCCTGGACCCCGAAATCCACCACTTTTCTGTTTTCAGAGGTACCAATGTGGCAGGAAACCAGGGCTCATGCTGCCGCTGAGCTAAAGCAGTAGAGGGGATGGCGGCTTCTCTAGGATCTAACACGTCCTGAAGCAGACCAACACTATGTCCCAACGCACTGGTGTTGGGATGTCTGCCCCCGGTGCCTGTCCGGGTCAATAAAGCAGTCAAGCATCATGTATGTTATGTTGAGCATTCTCAACCAACAAATGTGGGAACTCCCACAAAACACCAAAACAGATCTAAAGAGACACTTAACAACATTGGAAAAATAGACTGCAATTTGTTTATATAATTTATAAAGCGTATATTATTGCCCACGTTAAGGGGCCTGTTAATAATTTATTAAATTACCGTATTAGCTATTTTAGATTTAATAATAATGTAATTGCTATGATCAGTTTACTGGTCAACTGGTGTTTCGGTGTCCCTAATTTTGTTTACACTCGGTCACTTGTCAAGGCATGTAAGGTCATTTGGCGATATTTTCTTTGAAATAAAATGATGTATTTGTGTAACAATTTGAAAGTTTATTGATTTAAAAAAAAATTCTTGATATGTACATGTGATGATGTTTGTGCCATTATTATTTGATTTGATTTGTTTTTGGGATTCTAGTTTAAGTAACTTGCATTAACAAAATCCTTAATTTAATATCTTTCACACCAACTTACTTCCAAATACTGGACCATTTTAACTCCAGAAAAATGGCTTAACTTTTTGGGGGGAAAGTATCCAGTAAATCACTATTTTATGGTAAATCAGGGTATGGCAAATCAGAGTTTTACTGTGCTACCATTACATTATTTGGCTGCACTAATACTTCATTATTTACCTAGAACATGGATTTGTCAAAGAGAAGCAAAGAATTAATTTCTGGAGCAATTGCTGTTCTTTTACTCATTCTTGCTGTTCTTCTCACACTGCTTCTGAATGGTGGCAGCTTCTCAACAACCATGCTACCCTTTGATCTGGACGATAGAACCATAAGTTACCCAGTCCTGCCAGACACTATCGATGGTGTTGTTAACGTGGTAGTGAACTCTGTTGTAGCAGTTGGTCTGATGATCTTATGGCTTCTTCTCCATAGAAAAAAAATTGGTAGAAATAAAACAGCTCTATTTCTCCTTGCGGTATACCTTGTTCTGATGGGAGGAATCCTTGTTAACCTTCTCACGAATGTCATTAAGCACTTTAGAGGTGGTTTGCGTCCTCACTTTATTGCTGGTTGCGAACCAGATGAGACCATTGTGGCTGATTTGCGGATTAAAAAGGAATCTTGGGTAGATTTGAAAACATCTAAAATTATTTGCACACACAAAGGAAAGCCAGAGTTCAGGTGGTCATTTCCTTCAGGACATTCTTCTACCGTAAGTTTTTTTCTTGCATAAGTATCCTTGCTGTACTGCTGTAGTTTATCATATAAAACGTGGTTTTTGTGATTATCTATTAAGATGAAATGATAATTGATTAGGCCCTAAACTATAAATTATAATATAATATAATATTGGGTATAATTATGACGTAAATAAACAATAAACCTAATTGCTTAATATGTTCACCCGAGAAACAGCTTTAGTTAGGATACAATAAAATTAGTCAGGAAATCAGTGTGGATGTGCGCCTTAAAAATAACAGTATTGCAAATAACATTGTACCTTCAAATTCAGGTGACCTCATTTTCAAAATGAGGTGATTTCATTATTTTGGTGAAGCATTGTATCAGTACAATTTTTGTACACAATATAAATACACAGTAAAGATAGTCTGCCAATATTTTACTTGTATTCCCTGAAATGTTGGATGATGACAGTTTACTCAACCCATGATTTCGAAATTCGGACAAAAAGTACCACTTCGATATAATATTGTAGGAGGTTAAAAATACATTTTAAAAGTTTCTTTTGTTAGGCAGTAGGCTCGGTATCATGTCTCTTAGTAATCGACGCATCAAACTAGCTACAGTTGGAATTACGCTGTGTTTGCTACTTTTTGTCACTACTCTCTTGAAATTTACCAGTGTGTTTCCAACACACATACGTCCCTTTTGTAAGGATGATCCTTCATTGAACTATCCATCTGTGCCAGAAACTCTAAGTGGACCGTTACTTTTGCTGATGTGCTTGGTGGTACCCCTGCTTTGCTTGATTTTGCCACGTCTCCCCTCCCCTCCTACTGACGGTTTCCTTTATACTTTACCTTGCTTTGGAAACCTGCTGACACTCATCCTCACTAATGCTCTGAAATGTATGGCGGGAGAGTTAAGACCAAGCTTTTTGGCTCTATGCAAATTGAATGAGTCTATGGTGCTGGTAGGGGACTGTGTTAATAGCACAGTTTCTGCTGTTATTTGCACTGGAGAGGTAGCAATGGATGGCAGACATTCATTCCCTTCAAGTCATTGCTCCCAGGTGTGCCTCTTGTTGATATAATATATGGAATAGGGCGAGATACCAAGCTACACCTTGAATTCTAAACCTTGATCTAGAGTAACTCAATTTTCATAGGTAGTGAAATTCTGCAAAAATAACAACTTAAGAAGTTGAAGTCAATTGGAAATAATAAAGTTGTGGTCCTTAACTGGGATCAAATAGTAGTATGCTATGGTTAATGGTAGACAATTTTTATTTCTTAAGAAGTCTAATTTTGTTAACATTTTCTAATAGAACATATTTCAGGCATTCTTCGGGGCTATCTTGTCCATCCTGATAATCCAGGACTTACCCACCGATATTTCAAATGCGTGGAGTCCACTTTGGTTGACAGTCAAAGCGTCCCTCCAATTTTGTATCATTACTTTTTCATCCTGGGTTGCTGTCAGTCGCCTTGTTGGTAAGTGTTAAACTTTAAAGTATGACTGAAGCTGAGTGTACTTTGTATCAATATATAAACACCTGCCAATTTTATTATCATACATACAATAATAAGTTCATTGTTAACTTATTAATCTGAATTTCAGACTACCATCACCACTGGTGGGATGTATTGGCGGGAGGTTTATTGGGCACTGTGTTTGCTGTGGTTCTTTTCAAATGGTTCCTTGAACCAGTCATGAAGCACATATCTGAATTTGAAGATCCTGAAACTTCAGGTATGTCATAAAATCTGATCGAGTGTAAAGATCATAATTACTAAGTGTTATTCACTGTCATTTGCATTGCATATTTGATAGGTAGTTATTATAAAGATGTGTTTAAGGGTAGGGCCTAATTTTGAAGTCTAGTAAATTCTTGAATCGTTCCTAACAATAAGATACCTAATTACTTACTTATGATTGATCTAATAGCCTCAGGGCCCATGCCTTTTTTTATCGATAATCCACCTTTTTTGAGAACCATAAACGTAATGAAAGTTTTACGGGTTCTTCTCGCAGAATAACCAAAATAAATAGCAATGTATATTGTATACTTTGTTTAATTATCAATTGTATTATTACTAGTTGATGTGAATGCTGTGAATGTGAAGGCGAGTGAAGGTGCTGAGCGACAAACGTCTACAGTGTTGCTTCTAGACTAATTCACCGCTGAGGTTAAGAGATTGGCTATAAATAAAGCCAAGTTTGCTGTGCGTTCTTCTTGCTGTGTGTGTATGTGTGCCAAAAATTATTATATTTTGGCAATTTTATCGTATCGCAGGTACCAATCCTGCAAGAAGCACTGTAGTTCCAAATCCAAATACTTGTCCAGGGGAACTGAACAAATTTGCATAAAATAGCACAGGGACAGAAAGATGAAGCATAGTTATCCGGGTAATCGTGTGATACTGTGCATGTGGATTTGTTGTTGTTGCATGAATCAAAGTGTCATTCACGCAAAGAAGCATTGCCAAAAAATCATTAATTTAAATTTCTTGTTCATAAAATTACACACTTTGAAAGTGTGTAATCTTGTGAACGAAAAATAAAAATGAATGCTTCTTTAGCTTTGGCTATCATATGTGATAGATTATAATATGTAATAATATCATCAAACACTGTAAGCTACGTGTCTAGGACTCTCGTGACTGTTAGATCTTTAGATCAGTGATTACAAATTCCAAAACAAGATGCTTTCGCATTTCAGAGATGATTAAATAATGATGGGATATTACACCCAGTTTAATTAAATGGGAGAGCAGATAGAGTTAGAGTGTTTAGAGTTACCGCCCTACCAGTAGCGCTCTGAATTGATTGAAATTTACGACTTAAACCTGCGTGTCTCTTGTTTTCGTTATTGATTTTTCTTGAACTTCGCTGTTATATTTTGTCATCTTATTGAAAACTTTAAAATGTCTAGAATTGGCTTGAATTTTAATAATTGCTGACATAGCTGAGCTGTTTGCATTCTTGTATGTTTCGAATTTAAATCGGCAATTCCATCTGCGCTACAATTATCGTGTCAATGTTCTTTATTGCATGAATGCATGAACTATTTATTTCGCATCATACACTTTATGTTCTCTTTACACTTTAAGTTCTCGGTTTATTATAAGACTGTTATCAAAATAGACTCACCATTATATTTCTTTTATCTGCCAGGTTTTGCAATTTGCATTAATTGAAAGGTGTGGTCCACCTCCATGATTCAAAGATGATGACCTCCTTTTTGACAATAACTCTGACTAACTCCGCTGAATATTGTGCAATGTAACTGATAAGTGTTTTATCTGCAGGTGTTAATATCTCTAAAACGTACTATGGCGCAGCACACAATCAGCACAGAAAACCCGACCCTTGATAAAAGTGCTTTTAGTATTTGAGTGTAGAGTGTTAAAAATTAGTAAGAGTATGTTTATCAGAACTCAAATTATGGACTGTTAAAGTTTTTTTCGATTAAGTCTCTGGAGATACATATAACCTTTACTTTTCAGACTTTTTGTTAGACTTCATAATCAAATGTGGAATATTCCTGTGTGATGCGACTCAAACTATTACTTATTTAATAATTTTCCTGTCAGTGGGCGAACGGAATGATTTCATCTTAGTTTTATAGAATATATATAAACTAATATTGTTTGGCTGACTATGTAGTATGTCATTAAATACATCAGTCTTTAATAAGTTAATTAGAAAAATATCGCTTAGTAAATTTACTATTTAAAGTGATAAATTAGTCAGAAACCTTAATCACAGGTTATAACGTTGGTTAGAATATAAAACGTATTTGAGCTGTGCTCTTAATCGTTGAACGTGTACTAACATAAGAAAATAAGAGGAGCTTATGTCAAGATAATCTTTTTGCGAGGAATATAATTAGTAAACGATGCAATTATATTTATTTCATTTTCCAGTACAGTACAGTTAATTGTTGTATAGTATGTTATATAAATTGGTTTAATTTCGTTTAGCTTGTGAATCCATAAAACTATAACACCTTATCAAGAGGATCGTGATATACAGTGACTTCTGCTTTAAGTTTAATTAATACTTTTTCTCCGATCGACTAATTGAAAATTAGACAACCTTTTTTTAAATTATAACAAATTAGTGACATAACTCTCATATAACTGATAATTAAATTTGTGAATTCCATTTGAATAATAATTCAGAAAAACATCATCGATCAGAGAAAAACAAAATTGAACGCTATTGATTCTTTGGATGTCATGATTGACACAAATAATTTATCCGTTAATTGTTATATTATATTACTCTATACCGTCATAATGTTATAGTGCTCGTATACCCTAGCTAGACGGTACGTGACGCATCACGTGATGTGTTACGTGATGGATCACGTGTCACGTACCGCCTAGCTAGGGTCTCATGAAGACACTCAGTTTACAGTTTTGATTCTTTTGATTTCGTTGTTTAACCTTAACCTCTGTAACTACTCCATATTACTGTAACATACTATTTTCTAGTTTGATTTATCAACTATTGCGTGTTTACTGGTTTATTTTAATGGCAATAACTTTTTTGTGCCCGCACAAGAGCAAACAATGTCAAATGTTCAGTAAACCTCTGAAAATGTACATGTATTTAGAAGTTAATGAGGTAACGTATCAGGCTGGGGACTGGGGAGCTCGAGTTGCCTCGAACTTCAGAATAAAAATTGGTACTAATTTAACTATTTAAGCATTCTCTCAGTTTGAATTTGTGATTCAGCGTGTTAGTTGTCAAATTTTTATTTGAAGGGACAGGCTAGGTGTTACTGAGCGTTGAAATTTTTCACGAAAGTCATTTTTCGACATCAACTACCGAAATGAACAATTCGACGAGTTAGTTTTAGAGACCTTTTCAGACATTTCGGAAATAAAATCGACAATTAGAGGATTGCACTAAGTACCCGCCATAGTTAGTGAAACTCCCTGAACAGCTGAGCAGCCGAATCCAGGCTCCATTAAAAATGAAATCATACTGATTCCTGGCATCGGTTGAAACCTAATTCCGGTCAATTCCACTAACATTACAGTATGAAGTGATAAAAGTCTCCCCATTTTAGTTCAGGGGGAACTGAGGAAAAGGTGCATAATTAATTAAGTTCCTCGACATTACCCATGTTATTGTCTTCTAGATGAGAATCTGGGGGCCTAGTTATCTCACAATCTTATGAGAGAGTGGTCAGTCAAGAAATTCCAAAACTTTAGTATAACCCCGGAGTATTGGGCATTTGTCTCTCTCCTAGGGGGAGGAGTTTTAAATTTAAGTTTGAGTAGCTATGTACTGAGGCTCGACGTCAGAGATTAGACCACGTGCTAGACCACATGTTATACCCACGTGCTAGCAGCTAGACCACGTGGTAACTTCTTACCATGTAGTACTGCAATAGTCAGTCGGCAACACCTTTTTAATTAAGAGGGAAGAGAAGAAATTGCAGTTCTGATTTTAAAATTGAGCCACAACTGGGCAGAAACAATAATACATAATGTTACAGAATCGCTCTTGATACGAACCAATATTCAGATTGATCAGTAGACATGAATTAATTTCAGGCTTTGAATAAATTTCCATTATATAACATTGTATGGTAAATAATTAAAAAGCGTGGCTTGCGCTCAGCTGCCTTTCACTTTGGAGGTAAGTGTACGGTACTATACTATCAGTATAATATATATTATGTAATATGTTATAAGTTACCAGTATTCAGTATTACTATATAAAATACATGTAAATACATGTATTTAATCTGTTACTGTAGAGTGCCTCTGTTACAAGCTCTGCTACCAGCTCTTTCATCTCTAGGCTTGGTTTGAAGGGAACGCATTAAATTTAGATTGACGATTTATTTATGACATCATTTCTTTAGGATAGCTATTCATCCGTGATGGCTGGAGTGAAATGCATCAAAGAATTGATAATCGCTCTACTTCACTACATCGTATCAGATTGGTTGGAGATCCTGTTTAACATTATTTTCATAATAACTGTTGGAATCTTTGCTGTCATTTTCAAAGGAGATTCGTGGAATTTTCAGGCATTCAGAGCTTTCGACTACAAAGACAATGCGTTGGGATACATCCACAAACCAAGTGTTGTGACAGGAAACATGAACATTTTTGTTTCTTTCGTGTTTGCGGTAAGACATGGGAACAACTTAAAATTAGTGGTTGTTTTTCAATTTAGATGAAATTTTAATTATTGAGACGTGAACTATTTACTTTTTCTGAAATGCAAATGGAAGGTGATCATTAGGTTTTGGACTTTGGGACAATTTTGTCCAAGGTTGTGTGTTTTCAGTAATGCTGTGATTTTTATGTTGTTCACTGGCTTCATTTTTTAATCCTGATATGCAATAAAGGATTTTTCCGAGTAAATATTGTTTCAATAAATTGTTTAATCCTCAGATAGTAGCATCTTTGATTGGAAACGCATTTACAAAGATTGGCAGCAAAGAAACCAACAAAAAGGCTGACCAACAGCTAACAGTAGAAATCAATATGTCATCTAAACTGTCGAGCATGAAGGAAATAGAATGTCTCAAGGCAGAAAGTAAAGTCAGGTTGGTAATTAATTAAATAGCTAATCAATTAAATAGCTTTTTAACCGGAGACTGCAGAAACGTCTTACTCTTAATAACGGTATAATAACGCAATTATGGCACATAACACAGTATTGAGACTTAAGTTTCAACGCACTACTGATTAAGAGAACTGTGGAGTAACCATTAGTGACCCTGCCACTTTGAAACAACCTGACTCTTCGTTCCTCAACTAAATCGCCTTTATTTCAGATTGTATAGAATTGTATGGGGACTGATATACTTAATCATAGCTGTTATTGAGACCAATCTCATAACTAACTTTACAAAGACGTCCATGGGAGTACTCAAACCTCATTTCTTGACGGTAAAGCAACGCTAATATTTCTGATTTCATATTTTGGTGTGAAGATCAAATATTATAAATTCCTAGCTAGATGTGCAATGTAGCTGTTTTCTTTCCCTTTTACTAAAAATTGAGGTTTTACAAATTCCTGTACCTCGCATACCTTGCATACCTATCATAGTCATACCGCAGGAGTGCAAACCTGACCAGGCTATAATAGAGGCTTTAGAGGCTAACGGGACTTCATGGGTAGACGAAAAACTGACTTTGACAATTTGCACTAACGAAGACACTGATAACAGAAGATCTTTTCCTTCTGGTCATGCATCCCAGGTTGGGCAGTTGAAATATAATGATTTATATAATGCTTTTTGGATGATCTTGGATACTACTCTTTAATAATTTATATTACATATATGATTACCTTTGAAATATGACCTTATTTATTTCCATTATGTCAAATGATGAAATGATACTCTTAATCACTTTTTTGTTCAGGCTGGAGTTGCTGTGATGTATAGTTATCTCGAAGTGAACGATCTCCCCAAAATGTTGGTTGCTTCAAGATTTCTTCAGATAGTAGGTGTTCTATACGCTGTCCTCATATGCGCCTTGAGGTTGGTATATTCTTTACAAGAATGAACTTGCGAATTGTAACATTGCTTGCTGGTGCCAACTTGTTTGGTATTTACAGATTACGGAAAAATGGAACCATATATGAGGGACCACATGCAAAACTGGTATATCTGAACATATACCAATTTTGCGCAGGTAGCACATAGTCTTCAGGGTGAAAAGGTGCATCTTTGGAACTTTTTTTGAACAATTTTGAAGAAATTTTTGAAAAAAAGTGAAATTTTATTTTTCCAAAACTGGTATACGTTACAATATACCATTTTAACTTTTAACAATCATGAAAACAAAATGGTATATCTGCAGATATACCACCTTCAAGAAACTTATCTTCTATAAAACCGGTATATCTATACACATTTTATAGACTTTAGCCAACCCAAATGGTATATCTGAAGATATACCATTCTCAGTTAAATTATTTTATTGTTAATAGTATAGAAAAAATGGTATATCGTGAGATATACCAGTTTGGAACAATTCTAGTTTAAAAAATGGTATATAGACAGATATACCATTTTTTAGAAGTGTTTTTTACACATGATATAGAATCTTTTAAATCAGTAAAATACATTTATCTCAAAACTATCAAAAACAGATATACCAGTTTTGCATGTGGTCCCTCATATATATATCTGGTAACAACTTAACAAATATGCCATGCATACCAGATCTTCTCCTGAAAACTTGTATGATTGATCGTTGTATTTTGAGGCATATCGTGCAATGTTGATTTATAATGTTTATATAAAGATATAATTATAATCAAATGTTTAATCATTTCAGAATAAGTAACAATCAACACCATTGGCCGGATGTCCTTGTGGGTTTAACACTGGGAGCTCTGATAGCATTATCAGCTTTCGTTATGAAAGAGAAACAGGTACTTGTTCTAATGTTCTCCAATACAATACAATACAATACAATAAAATGCAGATTGCAAATGTATTCTACACACGTTTGTGTCTAAAACCTCACATTTAATTAGCTATATCATATTGTAGTAATGAAGAGCTTTAATTGTATCGGGTCCTCTTAACATTGTCTGACTCCCGTATTATCGTAATATTATGGTCTAACCTTTAAATGTGGATAGTAGACTCCTTCTTGCCACTGATTACACTTAACACAAGAATAAGCTTCATATAAACACAGCACACTATTTCCATAATCGATCAGTAATAATTCATCACCATGGCAGCAGGTGTTGTCATTATTATATTATATTGATTAACTTGGAGAGCACAACAATATATAATATATTTGTATTAAATAATACATATCAGAGCCTTCCCTTCGTGTCCAAACGCATTATATATAAGAGATATCCGAGCTTATCTTTATCATCTTAAGTAGAAATTCTACAACATTTCCTTCCCCCAGGTAAAGAGACAATTCCGGATGAGCGCGTGCATAAAAGTAGCTGTTCCCTCTGAAGGTGATGCTGAAGCTACTAATATGATGTAGGTATCAACGGTGTGATTCAGTCATATTTTTATTGGTCAGTTACGGACAATATGGACAATATTTTTGGGGAATCTCAAAGGTCTATAGAATCAACAACAAAAAACTTCGGAGCCCAATACAAGTCAGACTGAGAAAATCGCAAAAGCTGTATTTATATACAAATTATGAAGCAACATGAGCTAAATTGCTTATTTGTTTACAATTTAGTGCCATTTTTTGCACTTTTTGGCCTAAAGACACTAACAGGTATCTACAATAACTTTTATATTTAGATTACATATAAAAATATATATACAGATATAGATAAGACCTTTGAGAGTCCCTAAAAATATTTCAGCCCTCTACTATGAAATGAAGGTGATTGTCCTTAACTGACCAGACTATAAGGAGATGGATGGGTCACAGTGTGGATGACCTACAATTTAGTGTCTGTACATCGTGTTTTAGAGTGCCCACCCTACGTCTCAATACACACAAAGCCTGGCAGTGGAGACCGGAGACCGGAAAGATAACGCAACCTCAACCTATGTTTGGACAGATTATAGAGGAGTGGAACATTAACATTATTTTAATTCTTTGGAACCCATTGGTCGCTCATTTCGAACGGAGACAGCATATTCATATTATATATAAGACGAGGTTGTAGTTTTACTATAGTTTCTGATGTTTCATACGATATTTTGTATTTGATAATTGATTCTGTTGAAGTACATCCTGTATTATATTACCTTAAGCTCTTAAGGCTAATAAATTTGGTTCACAATAAATTTGGTTACAAAAATGTTGGTTACAAAAATGTTGGTTACAAAAATGTTGGTTACAAAAATGTTGGTTACCATAATTTTAGTCGCAAATTTCTCACATTTTTAGTCTACAATAATTTTAATCACATTTTTCGACTTTTCGAGACCATTTTCCATTCCATTTATTTGATTTTTCCATTGTTTAGCTTTTTTCCCCGCGATTTCGCACGTAAAGTCATGCTTTAAAGTTTACCGTCAGGCACGTTAATTTAATGATTTGTTACTGCCTGATGGGAAAAAGGAAGTAAGAGAATGTGAAAGCATAAAATGTGAAAGCATAAAAGCAGTGGATTACACGTGTAATAGTCAAAGTAGTCCAGCAGTAGGAAAGGTGGCATTAATGGTGATAATATGGTGAACATATTAATTATAAACAATGTAAGCTCAATAATATTCATGTCATATAAAGATCTACATTCTACAACCGTCTGCCTACTACCATCACATCAGCTGAATCCCTGGAATCCTTTAAAGCATTTCTAAAAACTTTCTTATTCAAATTGTCTCAGCATGAACTTGAAAAACTTTATCAATGACTGATTTTGGCCTACATTTAGTATAGTGTAAGTTCTTTAATTTTAAGCTTCACTCTCTGATTTTAGTACGAACGATATATTTTCAAATATATTATAGAGTTATAGCAGTCCTAACTTTTATCATGATAGTTTCTGGGATGACTAGATTAAACGCTGCTGAGTATAAGTTTATCTTAATAGACTTGGTGTTCTTAAACTTCAGTTTATTATTATTATATATAATGCTCTACTGAAAGTTTGGTCTGCTTTTAAATTAGTCGCCGAAAAATTTGACCTCAATAAATTTGGTTTACAACAATTTTAGTCTAAATTTTGACTAAATTTTTCTTTCTTAAAGAGTTAAAGTAATAAGATCATTCGTAATACAATTTTAATTTTAATTTTAATTGTATATAATTTTGTGTCAGATTCAAATTTTTATGATAATGATCTTTTTAATGCACGAATATGATGTAGTTACACTGAAACTTTGAATAGTTTACGGAATTATCAGGAATTGTTATCAGAAACATCGCAATTTTAATGATAAATTATAAAGATTTCTTTGTATTTCTGTGTATGTATAATTCGTGCTGTAATCAGATAAGTTATATAGTTACTGTTCTTATAATCTGATAATAATGTGTTGTTAAACCAATGTTACGATCAATCTTTCAAAAGTCGATTATTTACTAAAGCTGAGTTTTTATCATACCGAATCTCTAAAATCAAAGACAAATCACAGACAATATCATACTAGCAATCATGGCATAATCTCATCATCATCATGAGACATGAGTAATTATTATAGATGCCAGATGTGGATTCTGGTGGAGAGTTGCAGCATATTTTTGACACGTGATACTGATTCTTGAATTTGATTGACCAACATAGTGGAAGTTGATAGGTTAATATTATTAACCTATCCTAACCTTAACTTAATAATTGCTGCCATGTGCCAATAAAATGTACTTCACCCTCCTGAATCTACATCCATATTTACTTCATTCATTAAGTGGCTAATGGATGACAACTCCGCATTGTTTATCCAAGACTATAATTATTATTCAGCAGCTGTCGCCATTACAGTTAATATAATCGCTGCAACATTATCTGCTTATTAGCTTTAATTTGTGTCACCGTTGCTAACATTGTGTTTTGATACTGCTACAGACCACATGTAGCTATTTTAAAATCTACAATGTACATTGTACAACGTAAAAACTAGAAATTTGTTAATTAAATCCATATTTAATCTAGTAAAAGTATTAATCTATATAAGTAAATAACAATGATATTACAATATCAATCAAACTATAATATCGTGTCTCAACCCATAATTTGATTCCTTGTTTTTTATCAATACAAATCTTTTTCCCTTCCCTAAACTCATCCCAGCTTTGACTGATATATAAGTCCACCTCCCTCTCACCCTCTCACTCTCTCACTCTCCAGTAGCTACAGCTGGTAAAATTGTGAGAAATACTCCACATTCCGCCATGGATTCCTGCGACAAATGTGGTATAGACTTGTCTCAGTACTTCAACGATCAGACATTTAGTGACGTCAGACTTTACACCAAATCTAGAACGTTCTTTACGAGCTCCCTTGTCCTATCTATCCACAGCCCCGTCTTCAAGAAGATTATCGTTGATGAAAACGAGAAGGACATTTTCCTAGATTCATTCCTTGATGAGGAGGATGAGATGGAGATGATTATATCAAGTTTTTACAGAAGATCAAATCTGGTTGTTTCGGTTGGTGTTTTGTTTACAGTTGCTAAGTTTGGTGTGACCTATGAAGTGCCTTGGATTTGTCAAAAAGCAGTTGAGTTTGTGAAGGCTAATATATGCCACGAAAATTGTATCCAAATTTCAAGAGAAGGATACAGGTTAAAAGAATATTTTAAGTTTTCTCCTATTGCTGACGTATGTGATGAATTCTTAAGTAAGACTACATTTCTTGAAGAAATCGTAGTGGACTTGGAAAACATTACGGAGGACGAGATTTACCTCTCGATTCCTGCTTCCTTGTTTCAGAATTTACTTCAGAACGGTTTCCGACGTGATGAAAAACGTATGGTGGACCTAATCCGACGGTGGTTGAGCAGGGACTCCAATATAATACAAGCCATGGAAATTGTGCCATTGCTTCAGCTGTCACAGCTATACTTAGTCAACGATTCCCTTCATTCTGAATTCTTTGAATTCTTGTTTTCTTCCGACAAACTTACTTCAGAGGATAAACGGACTATTTTGAAATTATCAACAAATAGTATTGAAGGTAGTAAAAACTGCATGGTTACAGCTCTCGGATTCAGCAAAGAGGTACCGAAAGAAATGCAGGGGTCTCAAAACATAAAAGATTTTTTGCTGTCACCAACCTGGTTAAACTGCTCCTTCGATGACATAGTCATGGTGAGACAATTTAGAGGAAACAATCAGTTCATTCATATGGAATTATTCTTGGTTTGGATGCGAACCCATCCTGTTACCGAGTATCAAGTTAAGGCTATTCTCAATTCCATTGATTTGAACACCATTACCAAGGAGTACATTAAAGATTTGGTTACTCATCTCAAATATTCGCTAATCCAACTCTTCCTGACAATTTTCATGTTCAGTTTGAAGCAAACGTTGCATCACACGACTTCTCCCAAAATCAGAGTTTAACTCAAGAGTTTGCCCAACAGAATCTCACACCTGATCAAGTTAAAAATCTAAAACTAAAAAGGCACACTCTCTCAAAACGGCCCTGCAGCGTATCCAGATGTTGGGAAAGGACCCTGGGCTCCGTCGACATTAAACTCAAACGGGACTCATTCCCCTACTTTAAAGTGGGCCGCCTGAACACAGCTCCGACCATGCTGGAACACTGCCATAACCGGGAAGTTTACCACGTGTACTTTGTGGTTGAGAGTCAGATTGTGTCGTGTTACTGTGACTCCTGGGAGAGGGTCGAGGAGATGGTGAGACCGGAGGGTAAGGAATGTGTCACTGTCAAAGTTGTGTGCCAGGGACATTGAGTTAACCTACATGTTTTTGTTGTTGTTGAGATAATGAAAATTCAGACTATAGATTGTAATTTCATTATTTTTACTGTTCACAATTTTGCGAAGCAAAAATGTTACTAGTGACAGATTGCGAATGGTCGTCATTGCAGAAATACAGGAATTTTGGAGAACGAGGAAGGTGGCTTCGATTTGGTTTCTGTTTATCACACTCATGGCAACGAGAAACACGTGCGCAGTGCGCAAGGGCTGCTTGCGGAGTTGTTGTACAGTCTGTAGTCAGTGCATGTATTTTAATTTCTATGAAGTGAACTGAGCTATAATCCTATAAAGCTATAATAGTAGTGAATGGAAATCTAGCGTCCGCCACAACGAAGAAACGGGCGCAATTCTTGTGTTCGTTAGAAATTTTATAAATTAGAGCGTTTGAACCCAGTTTTCATTGTCCTGAAAAGCAAAAGCAAAAGTAAATTCGTTATTACTCATATATTGTGACTTTATTTTATAACCGGGCCATGAAGTATGCCTACACCTAAACGTCATTGGTAAACATATTATAATGTACATATTGAGTTGATGATAAGGGGAACATATAAGTAGAATATTTAAAAATAACTTACATTAACTTACATATTTTTAAATATTACACCTAAAATATTTCCCTAGTTATGTCCTATTTTTCGAAGAATCCTTCGCGATTTCTAAAACCCAAGTCAGTTTACCTTCACCACATCAAGAAAATCAAACACCCCAAAGCAAAAAGAAAGTTTCATTTCGGTAAGAAATTCCTTAATTAACCGTGGCATTCTGTAGAAGGGACAGAGTTTATTGATAATGCGACTACGATCTTATATTTTGTTACTGGTTACATAAAACATAAATATTCAATTAAAAGTTTATGGATGTGGATTGTAGTGGGGAGATGAAGCAGATTAACCAATCAGCTTCCACTATTTACCAATCAAATTCCTAAGTAACTGTCACGACTCACGTGTCAAAACAATTACCCCCACAATCTACATCCATTAGTTAATTAGTTGATTATTTAATTAGTTGATTAGTTAATTGGTTAATTAGTTAATTAATAACTCCCTCACTCAGAGTACACGAATGTACTGAACACTTGTAACAGTGGAGCAGGAGGTATCTACACTCCACAATGTAAAAGAGTCACCTTCAGAATACACCCGACTGCACCTGACTCCTTTCATGTTAGTATATTATCTTTTCTCTTTACTTCTTTTTCTTTAGCTCTAGTTATTATAACTTAAATTTATCCCCTTGATATTTATTCTCATGGAATTAAACTACATGATCTACATCCCCTTTTCAACCTGAAACGTACCCATGTGCTTACCCCTAAACCAAAACATTTTGTGAAATTGTAACCGTCTTGGAAACAGAGGACCGCAAAACAGTTTGTCCAATTGATAACCTATTTTTAAGTCTTGATTTCTCCCACCTCTCCGCTTCGAGATGGCCTTTTACGGAAGCGACTATGAAAAACTGCCATAAAAACACAGCAGTCATAAAATAATAGTTATCCTAAATACTCTGTAAACAAGACGTTCACTGTCAGTTATCTGCGTTTACATGGGGGGGGGGGGGGGGGGGGGGGGGGGGGGTCATGAGTATTTTTGAGAGTCCCGACGAAAATGCCAAATTCTCATTCTCAAAAATTATTTTTGAGAAAAGTTTCCAGGAGAGTAGAGGCGAAAAACTCATTCTCAAAAATGATTTTAAGTATTTTTGGACCACATTGCACTGATATGAAGAATGATTTGCTATATTATCACTATTTTTGAGTGTCCACTATTTTTGAGAAAATGAGAAATCCATGCTGAATTTCTCAGATTCAAAAATAATTTTTGAGTATTCCCGGCGAAAATGGTCAAATTCTCAGATTCACAAATTCTCAAAAATACTCATGACCCCCCCCCCCCCCCCCTCTCCCCTACATATTAAATATATAATGTTGTTTTGTTGCTGTTGTACCAACTTTGAACTATCGTAGTTTGATTTATGGATTGTTTGTAATGGTAGAAATAAGGAGTTTTTAACTGCCAAATTTATTCGAAAAACTAAAATCAATGCTTTTTACAGTACACCTACAATCTTCATGTACGTATGACTGTATGATGTTATTGTGTGGAATGATGTAAATTCTAATTTTGGTTCACAAGATTCACAAGATTTTTGTATGATTTCTCCTATTGTCTGGTTCGTGAATCAATAATTATTATATGATTGTATTATACTGTAAACCACTGTTGGAATTTCATCTAGTGAGCACGGAGGCCAACCGCCAACTTCAGAATACCCCAGCCCAGACTGGTACTACCTAACATCCCTTATGATGCGTATTATTACTACAGTGCCCTTATAAAATACCGTTGCTTTGTTTAAAATAGATGAATTTTTTTTCTCCAAAAATAATTGAACACAGTAAAACGATCTTAATTGCGATAATAAGATAAAATAAAACTTTCAAAGTGTAATTCGAGCTTGATCCGACGTTACTTTTTAGAAGCAGTCACCAGGGTGGAGTATGCAGTAGAAGATACCTTGGATAAGTTGGGTTGTCATGACCCCGTACTGTCCCCCGCCTTGTTTCAAGTTGAGACGCATTGAGATATTGCCAAGGTTGATCTTAGTCACTCCGAGACCATCTTCACAGAATTCCTCGTCTTCACAGCCCACACAGTCACAGTCGTTATCACACACGTAATGTGAGGGAACACTGTCTCCGTCCGCACAGTAAAACCCAGAATCTTCTTCTTCAGCAGCATCCTCTGCAGCATCATCCGCTTCAGCAGCATCATCATCCGCTGCAGCAGCATCATCATCCGCTGCAGCAGCATCACCCTCTGCAGCATCACCCTCTGCAGCATCACCACCAGCATCCGCACATATTTCCGCGTCTTCGTCTTCGCAGTAAGCACCATTACCATAGGCAGTATTAGAGCTGCAGTCACAGTAGTTATCGCACATATAATGGGGTGGTTGCCTGCTTTCGTTTTGGCAGTAGTAGTAACCGGCAGAATCATACTGAAATATTATAAATTATGCTAATTTTAAAATTGCAGACAAAATAATTTGGGGATAAATGACTATTAAAATTTTTCTCTTTGTCGAATATTTTGTGTAATGAAACTCAATAACAGGATTTTCTTGAAATGTCACAGTGATTATGAAGTCAATCTAGTCAAAACGCTCGTGAGTTGTATGTTAGCAGAATCCCAAAGTCTTAATTATCACAAAATAAGGAGGCAGCAAACATCTCCCAATTCCCACTCAAGTCTTACAACAATTATAAAAGTTGGGAATACTGTTAACTTTTATTAGTATTACTGATTTAATGATAATAAATTGAGCTTACCCCAGCAGAGACAACTCCCAGTAGGATGAAAGCGAGTAGGAAAGTTAACTTCATGGTTAGTCCAAGAAAGGTTCAGTAGTCAAAATTAGAAATCAGTTGTGAATGTTTCTCACCTCAAACATGGTGAGTATTTATATGACTAGCTGGTAATAAAGGGCCATTGTTTGGTTTGACTATCTAATTAAAATTACTGGGGCGTTGAAAGACTAAATATCTGAATATTGCCCGTGTGCTTTTTCCACGCCATTATAATTACTTTCTTTTAAAACTCCATGTTTAATTAAATGCTTTCTTCGAGTCCCACGTTTTACTTGATGCTCGTCTCCTAGTATTTAATGAGAGTATTTGTTTAGTTTTCTCCGGTCTCGTCTAGTTGGACTCCTTGGTGACCATTGTCCGTGCATGTGCCCCCCCCCCCCCCACTCTGCTTGCATTAGTCCTTTTATTAGCTCCTTTTTCGTTTAAAATGTATTGTTTGATTGTGAGCTCTAGTCTCACTAGGGGCACAGAAACAGACGAGTTTTAAATTTTTCTGGCTCTCTAAGTGAGAGCAGCTAATAGTTAATAAAATAGTCTATTATATTTGGATTAAAATTTACTGCACTTGATGGTTATTAAGAGGAAAACAAAGGTGACAACATGCCCGGGCACGCCTACAGATAAACAAATGTTCTGTCGTTAGTGAACAAATGTTCTGTCCTTAGTGAAGATTAACTGGAAAACATCCCGTCCTCAGACACGGTCGTCAGTCAATTGTTAAAGGTCTTCCAGGACCAGGAATAGATGATTGAATTTAACGCTGAAGCTCTTTTTATCTTAAGTCAAACTCTGAGAACCATTGGATGTACAGATTTCATTATAATTTTCAAACAAAAAGTATACTGAAATAATAACTGCGGTAGCTTTATATGTTTGATTTACAATTTATAGTGCGTGTAAAATGTAATGAAAGATTGTTCAACACTGTTCCAAAGTTGGTATCGCAATACTGGGATAAATGTTTAACATCAACTATGTTATTCCTTAAGTTATGGTCAAATTGGCATGGGCACTGTATCTCGCAGTTACTATACTACCATCTTAATATAATTTAATGTTTTGTCTTTGAAATTGTTTAATGATTGGAGTAAAACTAATCACCCTGTAACCTGACACTATTATAATCCATGTAAAATGTAATGAAAAAAAAAGAGAAGTTTAAACCTTTCTAGACCAGCAAAGAATATACCGGTTACTTTGTTAAACTTGGGAAGTTTGAGCATTGTTCCACAGTTGATATCACAACACTGGGACCATTGTTTAATATCGAGTATAGCTGCTATCGTACCATTCTGATCTGACATGATCATCAGATTTGGTGTCAAATCGAACGATTTCAAATTGTTAATCTCCAATATATAATATGTATAATGATCGATATTTACTAAACTCTCTTAAAAAACTATTTTTTAATACTTTTGATTGGAACGATAATTTCACTAATTTTCCCTACTACAACCCATTGTGTGTTAAAATTTGTCACGCAACTAAACTGAAATACGTAACAGACTGTACGTACATTGCACAATGACCCACGTGCAATATGTAGTAGTTGTGTTGACTGTGGTGTGACGGTGGTGTTACGCCATTATGTACCACTATTTCTGCAGTAAATGCACTACTATCGTATTAATATCATTTAACCTGGATATTGAGTACTTTTATAGATAGTACGTACCGCAGGCCGATTTTTTAAAATTTAAAAAATTACTTCCTCAGTTTTTTGTCGGCACTTTACCAAAAAACCTAAGGCCTAATTATTAAATATTACTCTTACCATTTACTTGATTAAGGGGGCTGGGGGTCTTCGTCAAAATTCTCTCGAAATTGACTTTATAGTTGTTTCTGATAGAGGGGAGTGATATCTATCAGCTGTTTTTGGTACCACGGAAAAATATTGTTCCTAGCCGAAATTATTGCCGGTCAAAGGTCAGCGCTTATGTGTAATTGTATTGCTTAAGCGATTTTCAATCACGCGTCCTGAAATCGAGTCTAAAAATCTATCTTCTCCTACATTTTTTGATCACCCTGAAACTTTCAGGATATGTTCTTTAAAGGACCATTTAGAAGAGATTGTCGGGCCTCCTTAAGCGGTTTGTAAATTACAAACGGACAGACGCTGCAGCCCTGATATTATTATTGTTGATAACAAATCACCCGACACCTCACATTCCCTTGACAAATACCGCCAATACCATGAGAGCTAGGTTACTGATCTAATCGTGTATGTAGTCATGGAGACTGGCTATTCTGCCTTCTTAACCACAACTCTCCACTGTAAATGTAGAACGTTTCTTAGGTTGTGACTTGTACCATGTGACTTGTACCATATACTACTCTTGTACTACTCTTGTACTATATACTACTCTAAATGATTTCTCTCTAAATTATTGTCTCTGTACAATGCACATGTAACTATGTAAGTCATAATTAATCGGTAATGATGACTAAACAACTAACCAGATTTTAGCAACTTTTATAAATTTTGGCCGAACTCCAAAGAATTAAGAACGGTAAAAAGGCAAACTTTTTCAGTAGTCACTTGAATTTCATGAGATGAGTTAAGTACTCCGTACTTTTAGTACCCTTCTGTAATATCAAATTTCATGTGACGGTGTTGTGACGCGGACGGTGATGTGTAGAACACAGCTCGATTAATAAAGCATCGTAAATAACACCCTTGTCACGTATGTGATCCTCTAGTCTCAATTTACCCCCCCCCCCCCCCCCAAAGAATTTTTGGCAAAATGCCTTGAAAATAAGACCTATTATCTGGAGTGCAATGTAACATTGTACATTCTTGTGAAATGTAAATAAAACCCGCTATAACCTAGAAACACAGCTTTTTCAAAGTAAAGGAAATAATTAATAATCTGATTAATTATTTGTTTAATGTTTCAAGTTTACCTCTATTTAACATGTTTTATTTGATTATAAATGTCCCCCAGGCCCGAGAATATCTAGAAAACAAGCTGTCGGAAGTAGCAACGAAGTACAATTCAGTTAGTTTCTACGTAACTGAATCTCAGACAAGGGTTCCTGTGCTCATAGCCCACTATCTGAACGGTTATCAAGAGGTAAGTGAAGAACGATAACCTTGCTAAGTGGGGGGAGGCTCCATAAATTAGATCATGACCCTTCCCTTATGTTCTAGTATGTAATACTGTGTAAACTGAAATAAAACACAAAACTAAGCTTACTTTCGTGTTAGGTAATAGTATACGTCCTGTTTATATGAGATCATACTCTGATGATCCACTGGCATGGTGATAGCGTGATATTATCATACGATACGTGTAACCCTTTATTCGTGTGTAACTGATATTAGGTTATTAGGTTATTGATAATATTATATAGGTTATAAATATAACTGAGATATTATAATACAGTGATTTTTACGGTTTCTGTATGAAAAAATGTGTAATGTGATACGGAGGTTATCCAATGGTGAAAATTGGTGAAAAATGGTGAAAAAATGGTGAAAAATGGTGAAATTCATAATTTGGAAACCTGATTCACCATAAAAATTCACCTTTTTTCACAATTTTACACCATTTTAGTTTTTTTTCTTCAAAATATCAAATTGAAATATTAAATGTGTTTTCTGATACTATACGACAATACCAAGAGCTCAGTTTTGACGAACCTTACTCGCCATGTTCACTAAAAGTAACCAGTTTGGATGTACTTTTACAATTTGGATTCGTGATTCACCACAAAAATTATTCACAATTTTTTACCATTTTTCACGATTGGATACCCCACGTGATACGTGCGCTGATACAATATAGTGTGTAATATATAGTGCGCAACTGTTATTTGTTTTGAAACATCCCGACAGCCAGTCTGAGGTGACCTTCAGTCTGTCCTGATAATAGGCAGGCAACTCTTGTGGGAAATGATCGGTTACCAGTGTTCACGACTTTCGGGGATATAATTCCCGGAAAATATTAAAAGGGGAGCATTATTTAAGGAGACATTATCAGGAGCAGCCTTTGAACACGAAAGTAAGCTTACTTTCGTGGTAGGTAATAGTACACGTCCTGTTTATATGAGATCATACTCTGACGTGTTACACTTCTGGTGATCTAAACCTTATTATCAGATAAGGCCAAAAAGCTGTATGGAGGGAGGGGGCAAAATAACTGATTTTAACCGCCTTTTAACTGCAGTGTTTTGTTTCAGGAGCAGCGCATAGACAATGTACACGAAGGAATCCTTTCACAGTTTGTTGAGAAGTATTGCAACTATTCTGGGGATATACAAAAAGGTAAGTCTTCGTATGTACGTGTTAGATAAATAAATGGGATGAAGAGGCAGTATCCTCGAGTCTACATAGCTACAGTGTAATATTTTGTCTCCTGTGGCTAATACCTAATGACTCGCCCATTGTTTAATTAATGTATCTCTTAACTGACAATGTGACTATCTATTGTGTGCCCGTGTAGTGTACAAAACAGTGACCGTCACTTGACACTTACCACAGCTACTCTCTGAAGCAGCTCAGCTAAGCTGCAGCGGTTCATAGTGTACTATTTTGGAAGGCGCTGCGCAGTTTATTCTATAGATGTACGCGCCGCGCACGTATATACGTATTAAATTATTAAATTATATATATCATATTATGTATATGATATGGTATAGTACGCGACGTATATTATATAATACACGCTGTATATAACGTCCTGTATGCATATACGTTACAACTTACAAGGAGCTCCAAAACAAGTACCATTATTACAGGTACCATGAACAGACAACAGCCAGTTGATTACACCAGATCAATACAAGGCATGTGGAGTCCGTACACGAACAACCCTCAGGCTGATCTCAACGCACCCTTATCGGTGCAAGAGGTCAGTAACAGATACCCATGTTATCTTCGCAGCACCATTAAGGGCGACATTTTATTCCTAAGCAGAAAGTAATATTCTTTAGATTTCGAAAGACTCGCTGCTTACCCAGCATATTGCAGTAACCGAAAAAATTATGGAGGCTTACAAAATCAGAAAGTGAAGCAATGCTCAGGTTGTTTGGAGTAATGAGAGAGGGTTGATATCCACTTTTTAGTTTTTTGATTTCCTTTTTTAAATTAAGTGATGTGTACACGAATATAAATCTTTTTTTCCCTCAGTTGAAGAACAAACACAGAACGGCCATTGATGTGAACAAGTACAGGGGTCTCCCGCCAGATTTCTATAACAAAATGAACAAGTTATCGCGATAAATATTTGGGAATATTTTAGTAATTTAAGTTGGTAATTTATTGTCTTTTGTAACGTTGGACATGTATCAAAATTAATTTGACATTTGCTATTTTTCTAGTTTAACCTATCATATTTTATTATACGGTGTTCCCCATTTTGTACCTCTGATAACAATGTAATCATTAATAAAGAATCGGCCGCAAGTTTTCTGTAGATTAGGATTAATTAAGTAATTGTGTAAATAATGTAATAGGCGCCAAGAATTGGTACAGAATTTACATCAGTAATCCGACTCTCTGCTTTGACTGTCTCCGCATAGATAAATCTGCACAAATTAGTCACATTTGGTTACGTGATACAAAAATCGAATAAATTGAATTTGTTGATTTATTCATCCCAAAAGCAGTTTTTATGTTGTAATAAACTTGAAATGACCATTTTAGAATTTACTATGAATTATATAAGATATCTTTGACTTTTAAAGTTGAAAACTGCGTTGGCTTTCGTGTATAGAGGAAAGTTCTCTAAAATGGAGCTCTCCTCACACTGATTAACGTAGACTGTGAAAGCGATCAAAATGAAGGCAAATGAAATCAATCATTAGTGTAAATACTAAATTTAATACTCAGGATTCAAACTTATTAGCTAGACAAGGTGTTAATGTAGGTTCAAAATGACAAGTAAAATAATAACACAAAACGTAAATACCATAAATCTCCAAACGCGAACAGAGTTTTTTAGAGGGTAGAGCATGTTCTTTAAAAAGAAAGCCTGGTTAAATGAGGATTTAAAGCCGAAATACTCTAGGAAAGTGGCAAATGAAATAAAATGGAATAAAAGTCAAATTATATGATAAACTTAGACCAAATGTCCGAATCACGTCATCTAGGAATATCCTGTGAACAAAAAAAAAACAAGCAGAATAGCACCCGCGCAATGTGCAAAATACATATGTCCCACAATAAGCGACCCAAATTTTACTGTTTTGACTGAATTTTTCTTGAATGTCCATCTAGCAAAATCGTCACTGAGGATGGCACAAGACAAGATTGATGTACTTAAAACTTAGATAAACGGAAAATCATCAGAATTTAAAAAGAGATTTTTAAAGAAAAGCTTTTCTGCTATAATCTCGATCCTTGACCGAAATTTCGCGGTGTTGACTGAGTTTTCGACGAGTGACATATCGGTAAGGTCGGTGATCAGAGTGACACAAGTCGCCATCCAGGAGGTGACCGAGACATGATTTTAGGCCTGACCGGGACCGGGACCGGGATACAAAATGTGACTTGACCGGGACCGGACTGAGATTATCAATTTACCGTGACCGGGACCGGGACCAATAATTTCTGGGATTTCTATCTTACCGGGAACAGGACCGGGACCGGGACCAACAATCTAATTTTACCGGGATGACCGGGATTTGACCGGGACCAAAACTGGTATTCTCATATTGAAAGCTGCAACTTTCATTTACATTATAATTGAACAATTTGAATAAGTAATAACTAGAATATTAAATTAGAAAAAACTTTTTTTAAACCGTCAATATGGGGCATGGGCCTAATGTACTACACCAATAATGTTCATGTACTGATTACTCAAGTTCACCCTCATTCCTCAATCAATGATCCCTCAAATTATTCAACAGTTTCATTCTCCAATTCCAATTGACAATTGGGCGTAGCCCGAGTCGAAAACTTGATGTTAGTTTGCACTTATGAGTTATGTAACGATATTAGTTACCTAAACTTGTTTAGCAATTTTAAACATTGTTTTATTTGGCTCAGAGGTTGTTTAAAGATGAAATTCACAATGAATGAAAGTAAAAACTTAAAATAACAGTGAATGAAATTATGTAAAAGATCCCGGCCAAAATCCCGGCAAATTTGAGTGATTGACCGGGACCGGGACCGGGACCAAGAATCCTGAATTAACCGGGACCGGGACCGGGACCGGGATCATAAATCAGCATTTGACCGGGACCGGGACCGCGACCGGGATGAAAAATGTGACTTGACCCGGTTGACCGGGACCTGGACCGGGACCGGGATAGCTCAAAATTGCCAATCCCGGTACCGGGATTCCCGGTCACCTCCTGTCGCCATCAACGTACTGGAAGCTAGCTGTATATCCGGAGAAAACTTTGATTTTGGATATGTCCTATCGGTAGGATATTTTCAAATTTCAGCTTTCCGCGACACAAATTTCACTGTTTTGACTGAATTTTCTTCAATGACCAATCAGTGAGTACTACTCACTGATGAGTGATGATGGCAAATGAGACACGATTGAGGTACTGAAAGTACGTGTCGAACTAGAGTCCAGTTAGCGCACTTGAGTTCGACAGAGTCAAACAATGATAAAAATATTTTAGCAGCTCAGCTGTAAAAGTAACAGGTTCCAATTTTATTTATCATAAGACTAGAGAACTGCTATCCTAACCTACCATTGGTGGACAATCACGTGACCAGCGGCCAGATGACCTCGAATAATGACAAATATGCGAAACGTGTTACGTCAAGACTATGACACCTTTTATTGAACGAAAAAGCTTTTATCCATTGAAGTCATAAAAATCGAACATATATTACATGACAGTCCTATTCTTTATTCTTTTCTGCACCTCTCAACCATTTACCAATATTGCTTATAAATAGCAACTTGTACCTTATCAGTCATATTGTCAAACCGCAAAAATCGTTCGAGATGAAATTCTTGTATGCTGCTTGCATCTGGTTGATGATATTGATAATCCAATTTGGTTCTATGAATACGACTAAAACGAATGGTGAGTAATAGTATTACCACAATAGCACAGTACCTAGTACAATATTTGAATAGCTGTCAAGTTGCTTTTTATTCTTTCTTTTTTTATCGACAATTGATAATGATACTTTTTGCTATATTTTAATCAAATGGAACTAAATCATCAATTTGAAGTTGGGAATGAACCCAAGATTTTGGAATAAATTGATAATTTACAATTTTGCTGGTTTTGATAAAACCTTTATCAGTCTGAGTCAGAATTTTTGGGATATATATCCCAAAAGTATAAGTATACTTATACTTATAGGCTTATAATCTCTATAGTTATACTTATACAGTATACGGGCGTACACATACAATCGTTCGTTGACAGCAGAACTGTGAAGGTTTCCTCCGACAGTTCTGCGCGCGACAGTACAGCGAAAGATATTATACATTTTCGTCAACCCTTTTTCAGAATGTCCTGCGTCTTTCCCCAACGTCTACCACAACGGACAGTACTGTTGTAAATCAAACAAGGAGAAGGTCTACACTCCTCAGGGTACCAAGTGTGACGGCAGTGTGATTCAGAGTGACAGTTTGTGCTGCGACGGGAACCAAAACACAAGGTGTCCCAGTAAAAATTGTGAAAGCTACCAAGAACCTGAGCTGGGTGAGTGTCTTCGTTTTGGTTGATCGTATTTCTTAGGGAAAGTAAAAGGAAGAGGATATTATTCTTTTACAACCGAGGATATAGTCGATCAGAACAAATTGTACATATAACATACTAACGGACGTAATTGACTGGACATTGCGTGAACGAACATAATTCTGAACGGATAATAATGTTGATATTAAACCTTTAAAAATCCGAAATTATCTCATTTTTGGGCGTCTTTTATTCAATTCCAACAAATAATGAACGAGGAAGCCAAAATCTTCCACTTGCCAAACTAAGAATGATGGATTAAACAAAAATCAAGCATGAATTGGTCAAGGAAAGCACCATGATATTTGTGAATTAACTGCACCAACTTTGTTATGCCAGGTCTGACTACTAAAGAATGGAACACTAACAGTACCTATGAAAACGGAACGGACGTTATAAATGAGGACCTCGAAAGCCAAGGTATAACAATTTCAATTTAATTTTTAACCAAAACCTGAAATTGGGTAGAGTGGACCGTCATTAATGTTTTATTTTTCAAAACAAAGGGAAATGATATTAATTTAAGGTACTGTTTTCGTATCCAAACACAAAATGATATCGAGAATAAAATCTAGGTCGCTTGTTTTTCCCATTTGTTCACAGATCTAATAAATTATAATACTAATAACAAATCATACCAGAAATGATTATTTCAATCGGGCAATCAGTGACTTAGAAATAAGCCCCAAAGTATGTGTACTGACTTTTGCAAACAACCCCCCCCCCCCACTCCCCTCATGTATCAGTATATTGTTTGTTTGGATACAGTTAAGCCCAATCTATATCATTTATAGCTAGGGTTTCAACGGTTGGTTTCTACGGGTGGGCGACAATTGACCCCCCGACAATTGACCCCCCGACAATTAACCCCCCGACAATTGACCCCCGACAATTTACCCCCCGACAATTGACCCACCGGCTGACCCTGACCCTGACCCTGACCCTGACCCTGACCCTGACCCTGACCCTGACCCTGACCCTGACCCTGACCCTGACCCTGACCCTGACCCTGACCCTGACCCTGACCCTGACCCTGACCCTGACCCTGACCCTGACCCTGACCCTGACCCTGACCCTGACCCTGACCCTGACCCTGACCCTGACCCTGACCCTGACCCTGACCCTGACCCTGACCCTGACCCTGACCCTGACCCTGACCCTGACCCTGACCCTGACCCTGACCCTGACCCTGACCCTGACCCTGACCCTGACCCTGACCCTGACCCTGACCCTGACCCTGACCCTGACCCTGACCCTGACCCTGACCCTGACCCTGACCCTGACCCTGACCCTGACCCTGACCCTGACCCTGACCCTGACCCTGACCCTGACCCTGACCCTGACCCTGACCCTGACCCTGACCCTGACCCCGACCCCGACCCTGACCCTGACCCTGACCCTAACCCTAACCCTAACCCTAACCCTAACCCTGACCCAGGACCCTGACCCTAACCCGATCAATTGACCCCAGTGTAATTACATGGGGGGTCAATTTTCGGGGGGTCAGTTGTCGTACTTAGCTCTAGATTTCGCGACAATTGACCCCAGTGTAATTACATAGGGGTAATTGTCGGGGGGTCAATTGTCGGGGGGTCAATTGTCGCGGTACTACTAGTACTACTACAGCATATCACATATTGATATACGGATTTTTATAGATCTTAGTCATATACATATACATATTTATACATGTATATAACTTCCAGGTAGTCTTACTTCAAGTTGCGAGATCCAAAATTATAGAGGCTTTCTCAAGTACGCCTGCAAAGAACCAGAGAACTCAACATCGGACCCTGGTATAAATGTACATGGTTTCTACAAGTGTGTTAACTCATCACTATTCTATAAGACCTTCCTTACCATACGCGGCAGGTATTATTTATATTATTTATTTTCTCCGTCTCCATGTCTGTATCCTTAATTTACTTGTAATTATCCCAATCAT